GGAAGGAAGGAAGGAAGGAAGGAAGGAAGGAAGGAAGGAAGGAAGGACGGAAGGAAGGAAGGAAGGAAGGAAGGTACGAAGCCAGGACGGAAGGAAGGAAGGAAGCAAGGAAGCAAGGAAGCAAGGAAGCAAGGAAGGATGGATGGAAGGAAGAAAGGCAGCAAGGCAGGAAGGAAGGTTCGCTTTCGGTGGCTCTTGGGTTTTGGTGGCTTTTGCCTTTGGTTTTCGATGGCTTTTGTAGGTGGCCCGCTTGCGGAGCTGTGCTGCCTGCAATGGCAAGTGTTGTCATGTATTCTATGTTAATGCATTGTTTGATGCATCTATGTATTCTATGTTAATGCATTTTTGATGCATCTCCCAAAAAACACACACAACAACAAGGACCACTTTTGAACTCCTGTTCTATCCCCCATTTGGCCAGCTACTCAGCGAGCCAGCTTACGGACCTGTGCTGCCTGCAGTGGCCAGGAAAGCTGCAAGTTGACTCACCCTTTGTTGCGCCACCCGAGGGTAAAATTTGGAGAAGAATGTTGCCATTTCAACTTGACTCACCCTTTTGCGCACAGGGTAAAATTATGAGAAGGAAGTGGTCACTCCAACTTGACTCATCCTTTTGTGGCCAATGCGGGGTAAAATTTAGAGAGGGAAGCGGCCATGCCGAGTTGACCCACCCTTTTGTGGGCCACGCAGGGGTAAAATTGAGAGAAGGATGTTGCCATTTCAACTTGACTCACCCTTTTGTGGGCCATGCGGGGGTAAAATTTAGAGAGGGATGTTGCCCTTCCAAGTTGACTCACCCTTTGGTGAGCCACCCGAGGGTAAAATTGTGAAAAGAAGTTGCCATTTCAACTTTCAACTTGACTCACCCTTTTGTGGGCAACGCAGGGGTAAATTTTAGAGAAGGAAGTGCTCATTCCAAGTTGACTCACCCCTTGGTGAGCCACTGGAGGAAAAAATAGAGAAGGAAGTGGCCATTCCAAGTTGACTACACTTTTAAGTGAGCAATGCAGGGGTGAAATTTGGAATACGCAGCAACATTCGGGAAAGGGCCTGTGTGCGCACTTGATTCCCCCCGATGGGGTGTGTGCACGCTGAGTCAACAAGTGTGTGCGCAGATGAGGCACAAGTGCTGATAAAATATGCGGCGCCGCCCTTCTGTGAGCCACCCGAATGTACAGTAGTAAAGTTTAGAGCGCAGAAAGCCATTCCATTCTAGCACGCCAGTAAAATTTTGAAGAGGTGAGGCGACCGTAAGGCCCCGGGTCCTTTGGTCCTCTGTTCCCCTGGCCTCTGGATCTGAACCTCTGCAAGATTTAGTGGGTCTCTAGACTCTACACCTCTACACTCCAGATCTGTCTGGATGTCGAGGCCTTTGGATGTCCAGCTTACGGAGCTGTGCTGCCTGCAGTGGCCAGTGTCGTCAGCGCTGTGCTGCTGGAGGTGGCCAGAGTGTTGTGAGCACTGTGCTGCTGCAGGTGGCCAGCTTACGGACCTGTGCTGCCTGCAGTGGCCAGGAAAGCTGCAAGTTGACTCACCCTTTGTTGCACCACCCGAGGCTAAAATTTGGAGAAGGATGTTGCCATTTCAACTTGACTCACCCTTTTGTGCACAGGGTAAAATTTTGAGAAGGAAGTGGTCACTCCAACTTGACTCACCCTTTTGTGGCCAATGCAGGGGTAAAATTTAGAGAGGGAAGCGGCCATGCCGAGTTGACTCACCCTTTTGTGGGCACGCAGGGGTAAAATTTAGAGAAGGATGTTGCCATTTCAACTTGACTCACCCTTTTGTGAGCCACCCGAGGTTAAAAATTAGAGAAGGATGTTGCCATTTCAACTTTTTGTGGGCCATGCAGGGGCAAAATTTAGAGAAGGATGTCGCCCTTCCAAGTTGACTCACCCTTTAGTGAGCCACCCGAGGCTAAAAATTAGAGAAGGATGTTGCCATTTCAACTTGACTCACCCTTTTGTGGCCATGCAGGGGTAAAATTTAGAGAAGGATGTTGCCCTTCCAAGTTGACTCACCCTTTGG